GGATTTTTATATGTATTGAAAGAACGTTTGTTTAAAATTGTTTTGAAAATGTTGTATATTCGGATACCAATCCAGTGGCACACCGGTCCGCGGTCTCACGGGTTTGGGTTACGCGGGTTGGGGTGTTACACAAGCACTGTACAATCATGGATTTGCTACTAATACAACCAAAAAGCACTGTTCAATCAAAGACTAAAATGGATATTCTCAATCCAATCAACCCTGCAAAATGACAAACATCCCTTTCACTGTGTGCCTCGTGATGGATGAGCGGCGGGGTGTCCCCTTGAGCTCTAACGTGGTTCACCATGCCTAAGAGACTGGACCAATGTTAGCCAAGTAAAGTGATATGACCGGTCACCTTCTCTGAAAGGTTACCCGGTCATTTCGTGCGCTCAACCCGTCTCTTTGGTCTTCTAGAATGTCCTTCGTAGAATAAGGTGATATTTTGGCTATCGCCCAAAATGTGACCGGTCACTTTTTTAGTGGAAGTGACCGGTCAAATTTTGACCCGTCCCAATCGAAGAGTTAACTTCATTTGGTAATTGATAAAAGTGACCGGTCATATTTTGACATGTCCCTTTCGGTTATCCGGGTCGGGTATAAGGATATACCCATCAAGAAGTCCTCCACTTACCGGCCTTGTGATGAAATCATCAAGGGCGGGAAGTATATTTATGTTGATCTATCACTTTTGAAATCATCAAGTCATTCCCATGATCTGTCCTTCTTTGAAAAAATCAAGTCATTCCCATGACCTGTCCTTCTTTGAAATAATCAAGTCATTCCCATGATCTGTCCTTCTTTGAAATAATCAAGTCATTCTCGTTGACATGTCCTTTTAGACCCGTCGCTTTTAGAATTATCAGACCTTTCCGTTTAGACCTGTCTTCTTCTGGAATCATCAAGTCATTCTCGTTGACCTGTCCCTTTTTTAAATTGTCAAGCCATTCCCATGACCTTTCTATGGAGACTTGCCCATTTCTTGGATTCATCGTCTTCATATCAGACCTGGCACTTTTGGATTTGTGGAATACGCTGCATGACCTCTTCCACGTGCCAGGTTAGTGGAAGTCCAAGCGTTGGCCCTGACCCTTCAGTTTTTGGAATTTCCCCCCAAAACCTTTCACCTTACCATTCAAAATTCAAATTTTCCCTCCTAATCATAACCTCTTCCACGTGTCAGGCGCTCCTTCTCCCACCTGTCGCATCGAGCTCCAAACCGCCTCTCTCTCTCCTATAAATACTCCTCAAACCCATCTCATTTCTTCACTTCTCTCATTCGTTTCTCTTGATTTGCCCGGTCTATTTTCTCTCTCTAGCTTCTCACCAAGTAAGTGCTCCAGTCCTCCTAGTCTTTTATTTTTCATCTTCCCTTTTTTAACCGGCAACATAATGTCTTCTGATAGTCAAAACATATCCGGTCAATCTTATGGGTCAGGCTCTCAGCCCTCTTCTTCTTCTCACTTTGAGTCTTCTTCTCCTCCTGTCACTCCTTTAATTCGCCGCCCCTCTCACCAACCTAGCTCCCAGGCCCAGGAGATAGTTGCCCAGGAGCCTGTTCCTTTGAACCAACTGCACGGTCGGTTCAATCCCAAGGTCCTCAGCTGGGACCAGTGGGAAGAACGATTGGGATCAATGGGCTACCTAGCCCTTGACTCAGGACCTGTCTTCAAAGAGTCCTCTAGGGTTACAAAAAAGGTCCTGGCCGAGGTACGCTCCGTCCTTCCACCGGGCTATAAAGTCATTTCTAACACCACCTGGCCCAACATCATAGAACCCCACCAAGGAAACCGGTTGGGTTTTCACGTTGCTTCGCTAGAGGGGGGCATTATCTTTCCCCTTCGCCCCCTCCTCGTAGAAATCTGTGACAAGTTCAAGATTTTGCCCGGCCAGCTTACTCCAAATGCTCACCGGTTCTTGAATTGTTTTGTAAATATTTGTGAATCTCTAAAAATCACCCCTTCTTTGGACCTCTTCCTTCATATGTATGATGTCTTGCCCGGGACTATTAACTGCCCGGGCTTTGTTTACTTCCATTCCCGTGCCAATTCTAGGGGTTTTTTGACCGGTCTTCCCCCTAGCCACAAGAAATGGAAGCAAAGATTTGTTTTCGTTGAGTTCCCCCCTGACCAATTTCCACTCTCCAACCGTGAGTGGGCTGATCGGGTAATAAAACCTGAAAGGGTCCACCCAGAGCCTACCCCTGAGCTTGAGGATGCCTGCGAGAAACTTCTCAAGGGTGATCCTGTGACCGGTAAGCCATACGCCTACGGTGGATGGGTATACCGGTTACCTAACCCAGATGGGGGTGAATCTGCGACCCATGACGCAGAAGATGACCGGGCAAACTCCCTGGATGGTCATGCTGAGGCCAGTTCTCCTCGTCCAGGTCGATCATCTTCTCTTAAGCTTCTTACTTTCATTTTCTTTATTTATGTACAAGGCTTAAAAACTAACCGGTCATTAGTTGCTTTGTTCTTTTTCAGACATGAATTTCAACAGGATGACCACCATCATTGAAGATGACGACGATGATGTCTAAGTCCTCCACTCCAACCGGTCTCCTCTCTCTAACTCTCCTTCTTCTCCTCACTTCCCTGGAGTGGATGGGGCCACAAGTGCCCGGTGTAGCCCTATCCATGAGCATAGCAAAAAGCTGAAATCTCCTTCATCCAGGCATCATTCTGAGGTTGACCGGGCTAATCCCCCCAAAGTCCCGGTCTAATCAGGTGCTAAAGAGGTCGGTGCATCTTCCTCTTCAAAAGCCAAGGACTAAAAAAGGAAGAGCTCTCATAAGAGTTCCAAGGGAGGCAAGAAGAGGAAGATTAGTTTATCAGACAGGGAGGGGGAATCCATCGAAGAAGCCTTCCTATCCCTGGCCAAAAAACTCAGCAAGGTACTTCATCACCACTTTTCTTCCCGGTTCACGTTTTTCCTTCACTTTTATTGATATGCCTCCTCTCCTCTTTTTTTTTTTTACAGGTCGGGGTCATTTCAGAGGAGATTGGCCAAACATTAAAGGAGAAGGACCAAGTCTCCCAACTCACCCTCCTCCTTGATTCTGCTAAGTTAGAGATCAATGACCGGGCAGAAAGGGAGAGGAGACTTGAGGAAGAGTTGAAGGAAGAAAGGGCCCGGTTTGCCCTTTTGGAGGAGGAAAGGAAGAGAAAGGTTGCCGAGCTCGAGGATGCGCTGGGCCAGGCTGAAGAATCTGCCCGGGCAAAGGAGGAAGCCTTTCCCACTGAAGCTGCTCACTGGGCTGCATGCCATCACTTGGAAATTGCCCGGTCAATTCTCACTACACCGGAAGAAACCATGGACTTTTTCAAGACCATGTATCAAGAGCCGGAAGGCAAGAGGATGATCACCGAGATTGGCTCGTACGGCTTCCAGTGCGGCCAGAAGGATGAGAGGTCCCTCCTTTATGCCAGGCTTCTGAAGAGGGACCCTTCCTTTGACCCGACCAAGATGAAACTCCCAGCTCTATACAAGGAAGAGCCAGCTCCCCCCTTTCCCCGAGAGTAGGTTAGGGTTTGAATTCAAAAACTTTAAATTTTCCCAAGGCCTGGGGGATGTCCGGCATACTTCTGACTTGTGTAATATTATCTTTTGTTTGGCATGGTTTTCAATTTACCGGCTTGTTTCTTCTTTCAGTTTGCATGGTTGAACTCCTTTTCTCGCTTGCTCAATATTTCTTGCATGGTTGTTTTCCTTGTTTGGTCCTTACTTGAAGTTGCATGGTAAGACTTTCCTTTTCTTGAACGTGCTTGGTTTAACTTCCAAGTCAAAAACAATAACCGGTCTTATCCTTTGTAGTTGTCCAGGTCACCTCATGTCCTGGTCTTTGGTTAACGCCTTAGAAATGTCTAGGTCTGGTAGGCTTTGTTGACAGCGTCCAGGTCTTTTCATGTTCTCGTCAATTCCATCTCTTGAAAATGTCCAGGTCATGTTATGTCCTGGTCAAGTACAAGCCTTGAAAACATCTAGGTCTTGCAACCTTGAAAACGTCTAGATCTTGTAGCCTTGAGAACGTTCAGATCACTTTATGCCTGACTAGTCTTCTGGACCGGCTTGTGTCTCGGTTGAACTGCAACAAACGTCCAGGTCATCTCATGTCCTGGTGTAGTAGGCTAGGTTGGAAATTTTGAAGACCACTTTAGACGCAAGGCTTGAAAACTTCCAGGTCATCTCATGTCCTGGTTTCTTGATTTGAAAACGTCTAGGTCGGTTTCTTCCTCGCCTGTCTTCTGACCCAGTCAACTTCCAGGTTCTAATGGCTTGGTTGCAATATGTAACCAGCATGACGTCAAATTTCCTGTCCAGGTGCCGGGTCAAAAATATGACCGGTCAAAATTAAACTTTTCCAGATTGGTCTGATTTCTCCAAATCCAGCCCTTAATAAAGTGACCGGTCACTTTTCTCAAAGTTGACCGGTCAAATTTTCCTTTTTCCAATTCGCATTTTCTTGCCAATCCAAAACATTAAAAAGTGACCGGTCACTTTTGACCATGCCACTTTTCTTTACCCCTTTCTCTTCATGGACCTTCTCCCGAAAGGTCATTATTTTAGCTTCAATGGGTAGTCTGGCCTCACACCCATATGTAAGGACGAAGGGTGTCTCCCCTGTGGCCCTTCTTGAAGTGACCCGGTAAACCTAGATGATATGTGGCAACTCCTCTAACCAATTCGTTTCTGCCTCACCCAACCGCTTTTTGATCCCATCGACTATTATGCGGTTTGCATTCTCCACCTGGCCATTCCCTTGCAGGTAGGCCATGGAAGCCTTATTGTGTGTAATCCCGAACCGAGTGATGATGTTCTTCCAGACAAAGCGCTGGCACTGCTTGGTTGTGATGGTTGCATATGCCTCGGCCTCCACCCATTTTGTGAAGTAGTCGATAGCGACCATGACATACTTCTTTCTCCCTTGAGCTTGAGGGAAGGCCCCAATGATGTCTATCCCAAACCTTGCGAATGGAATAACATTGGAAACTGGGTGGTAGTATGTTGCAGGCCTTCCCGGAAACTTGTAGAATACCTGGCAAATCTTGCACCTCTGGACATATCTCTCGCAATCTTGGTTCATTGTAGGCCAGAAATAACCTAGCAAAATGATCCTTTGCGCGAGCGTCCTGGACATTTGGTGGGCGGCGCAGACACCCTCATGAACTTCGGCGATCACTCTTTCCGCCTCTGCCCTGGTCAAGCACCTTAGCAATGGACCACCGAATGCTCTTTTGTATAGCCTTCCATCAAGCATTTGGAATCTTGGAGCCCTGAACTTTACTTTTCTTACCCTATCCTTATCCTCAGGGAATTGCCCGGTCATATAGTACCTTACCAAGTCATCCATCCAAATATCATCTGGCTCCACTCGATCTGGATTGGGCTGTCCATATTCCTCTATCATGCTAACAGAAAACCCTTCAATGCTGGCTTTCTCCAGCGTCTCAATCCTGGCCAGCTTGGACACATGCTCTGGCCAGCTTTATACATATATATATGTATGTATGTATGTATGTATGTATATATATGATGGCGTTTAGGGATTTTAGAGAGAGAGAGAGAGGATGGCGACGGTTCTCTCCGGCAACGGGTTAGGGATCTACGCCGACCCAGTTTCTATGGCGAGCCACTCCATACTCGTCCAGCAAGGGTCTGGATGAAATCCGAGAGACGAAGATTCTGGAGGCGTCGGAACTCGGGACCAAATGTCAGCGCAGACGGTCTAGTAACACTATCAATTGAGAGCAAAGACTTTGAAATTTTTGCTGAAGGGCAGAGTATCATAATTTCAGAATCCAAATTAGGTAAAACTCGAATTTTAAAAATCTCTTGGGATATTGCACACTGGTTGGTCGATACTGTTACCAGGCGTGATTTCGCAAATGAAAATTGGGAAATATCTCGATACGATGGGGATTTCTCTGTCAAAGTTTCTTGGGATTCAAATCGATTTGGACATTTTGCACGCCTAGTGTCAAAAATAGGGTCTTCGTTTAATCAGATTATCATTCCTGCTGGTTTCTATTTAGAGAGGCTAAAACTTTTCAGTAAGGGTTTATCTGAATTATTGAGGAACTCGAATGCTTTAAGTAATCACCTACCACAGCCACTGGCAATTGACTTTCAAGAAGGTCTTGGTTTGGTTAAAGTTTGCAAGGATGAGGGGTGGAGATGCTACCATGGAGTCCCTTCTGCTGGTATATGTGATGAAGATCAGTTTCAAACTGAAAGCAGGCTAGTAGTTGACCTCACTATGGAGAAAGAGATGGAAAGTTTGCAAAGGCCCAAACCACTGGCAGAGGTTCCTTTAGACCAAGGCTGTCTGGATCTATTTCATCATGTTATCAAGGATAACATTAACCTCTTCAGGAAATCAATTGCTAGCAAATAGTTTTTGGATGCTCTCAATAAAGGACAGATCCTCAACTACTCTGAGGAAGTCGTTAGGGTTACTAGAGAGACAATCAAAAGCTTTGAGTATATTGATGCAGCAACAATGGAAGGTGCAAGGTATCCGGTGTACCTTGCTAATGCGAAAGAAGATATGAATGTCGTTCTAGCTCATTTATGCGGAGAATAGGAATGATTAGGATTACACTCTGGGCACGGGTCCTTTTTAGTTTCTTTGTCCTTTGTTTATGCTGTTTTGGTCCTTCAAAGGGAATGGAATCAAGGGTTATGAGGACCTGGGCATCAGTTTATTTTATTATGTTTGTTGCAGTTTTTGGGTTTTGAACTTCATCAGCAGGTGTTTGGTTGGTGGAACAACTTTAGATTAGAGACTGAAATATTCAGGTTGACGAAGGAGCCTTTTATACATTGGGTCCTAGCTAGAAAGGAGTTTTAGTACTCCCCGTTACTTTTTTTTGGGATGCTGCAATCATGGACAAGTAGTACTTCATTAAATCACTTTGAGGCTGGAATGAAGGATGTAATTTGATTTAACAGACAGCTCAATCGGAAGATAGGGTTGCAGGGATCCAAAGGCAAGACAACAAACTATGGGTTATCTGCTCCCAGTTACATCTTTGTACTCTTTTCTTTAGTTTTTGTTTGCCTTGTTTTTTTGTTCTTTGTTTTGTTGCTTTGGCCAGCTTGTTGGGGACGGGCCACTCCCACCTCTTGTATTCTTCATTTTTCAATAAAATCTCCTATTTAATATATATATATATATATATATATATATATATATATATATATATATATATATATATATATATATATATATATACATACACACATACACACACACACACACATATATATATATATATGTCACGATTGTTTAAAAAGTTTCTCACATCATGGAAGGAACTTCTCAAACTCTTTCTTACACCATAAAATCGGTTGGTCTACTTGGTAGTCTTGTCCTTATTCAGAATCCAAAGTTCATGGCTACGGCAGTAGATTTGGGAAGGGAATTGGATAAGCGCAAAATTAGACTTACTTATAGAGGAGACAATGTCGCCTTCAAGGAGCTATTACTTCAACAGTCTATAACAATGGTGATATAGTTAGAGGCTTCATACCAGGGTACATAGCGACATGACAGGTCTACAGTCCTACGTACAGTGCAGAGTACACAGTTTCCATAAACTACTATAAGTATTTCGAGATGAATCATGTTGTGGAGGCTTTCATCATACTTTTCAGAGGAGTTGACACTATAGAAGGTTTGTTTACCTTAATCTCGTGGGCTTATGAAGGATTGCACAGCATGCCCATTGGTTTCTTAAATATTAACGGTTATTTCAATAATCTTCTAAAAGTTTTAGATGATGCGGTGAGGCAGAAACTTCATGGCTTCAAGTCAGAGGAAACTTTTCATTTCTTTTTTCTTTATTGATGAGCTTTTAGACAAACTAGAGTTTGCTAAAGCCTTCCCGGGTCTTGGGCTTAGTTACGACGAGTTTGTAAATCCTAGGAGATTAGACATAGAGTTACATATGTAACGTTTCTTTTATGTAATCTAAGTTGTATTGTTGTTGGGATAATATTATTGTCCATGAACATTATAAGCTAGCCATAAATATTGTTCTAAGCTGCATGGCCAGTGCAAGTTAGAAGAATATTTATTTCCAACATCATAATGTATCATGTAAATATCAAACATTTTATTCATCCTTCAGTCACACATTGTTGGTATCATGGTTGCACGTCTTGTTCGTGTTGTCACCACATTGCAATCTTTCATGTTAATAGAGTATACACATGAGTCAATTTTCTCAACTAGACTGCAACATGTTTTTGATAAGCAATTTAATCACTAGTCGCTTTATAACAAGGCATCAGTTCATTCAACAAGGTTGAGTTGTCTATAGCTTCTAACAAGAAGGTTCTTTGAATTTGATCGAATAAATCGTCAATACGTAATAAAGGGTAGCGATTCTTGATCGTCAGTATGTCCATCTTTCTTAACAGGGATGTGATAGTATCCTGTGTAGGGTTCTATGCTTGGATAGGGCAGCGGGAAAAAAAAATTTTGGTGTCCAAATGTAGATCCACCCAAGACCTTTTATGATCATTATAAGTTATTGTTAAAGAATATACCTTTCTTGGCGAGCAAGCAACGATATGTGTAGGTTGGAAGATTGATCCAAGAGCTAGGCACAAAAGTATATGACCTCAAGTTGAGACACACGAACTATGAAGAGTGTAACACCCCAACCCGTATAACCCGAATAAATAGGTTAGCGAACCGGGTTGTTACTAAATTAGTATCCACATACAATATTTTCCAATAAATTAAAACATTTAATTTAAAACTCAAACAACTTAAAATAATTTGAATACATATCAGAGTTTATACAAATAGTGCGGAAGCATTATAATTAAATCAAACATTAAATCCCTGCATCCGTACATCTCTTCCGTCATGCTGCTCTCCGGGATGGATTCCAGAATCAATCTACCACAACCACCTACATGTACCAAATAGGAAAAAGGGCTACACGCTCAGCATTGAAGCTAAGTGAGAAATATCTAACAGTTCGAACATACACATAGGCGAATCCACTAATTCATAATTATCACATGATATCATGCACACAACATGCTTGGCAACAATCTTACGACATTCAAGATATAACATGCATAATTGACGTCATAACAGTTCATCAGATACAAACAACAACGATATAAGTATTAGGAACTTTCCTTTTTTCGTTTACTTTACTTTCCTTATCGTACTTGGCTCTTAACCTATACTAGGTTAAAGCTTAACTGAATTCGACTTGCCTATGGAATTATGACCTTCCCCTTCAGAACGAAGGTCAAGCTCAAACCAACTCGGGAGCTCCTTGTTGGGTGGGTGAGATCCCTGTCCAACTACATAACTTTTATACTCAAATGACAAACATTTATACGTTTCACTTGATCTGTCTTAATGCTTTAGATTAATTAGTACCAATCAGTCCTTTAATTTGAATCTTTACAAATATAATCAGATTAGTCTCGTTATATTGAGACGATTAGAGTTTCTAAAATATCTTTTAATTCTTTAAAAGAATTGATCGTCGTAAAAAGATAATTATATTTATTTAATTATTGGTAACTACTAGACCGGTTTCTTGGGCGTTACAAAGAGTGTTCTAGAGAAAATTATTCTAGTAATTTTTCTCTAGAATATTTCTAAAATATAAAATATTTGGTGTAAAATATTAAGAGAACAAAACAATATTTTGTCTCTTAAAATAACAAGAGGGCCGAAATTATGTGTTAAAAAAGGGGGTGGGATACTCGGATGATCTCCTATTTTTAGGGATCATAATCCCCGATCCAATTCCTAATGGGAACGTTCCTTTTAATGTTTATGAAAGAAATCAAATCTCATTCCTATTCCACTTAGGTAATCTTGAAATACCATTTTAAGGAATCTTCCAATTTATTTTGTCAACTTTAATTATTGTATAATTTACACAAAAGAAATAATATAACATTTAATACACACACACACACACGCACACACGCACACATATAATGTTATATTTTGTTCCTTAAATAATATTTGACAAACTTAATTATCATAAAATTAAAATGTTCAAATATCAAATATGTAAATATATTCTTGCGCCTCAATAATAATAATAATGAACAATTTATTATTTATACATATAATTCCGAATATATATATATATATACATATATATATATATATATATATATATGATATGGGATATGTTAGGGTTTTTAGATAAAAGGGGAATCAACGGCCACTGGCGGCAACACATTTCCGATGAAGACCGATGGAGAAGGGGACCTCAACGCTAGTCAAATTCTAGGTATCTACGCTATGGGAACGGACGGCCTTGGCCTTGGCGTCCCTCATACTTTGAATTTTCTCGGCCCATGTCTCGATTGGCGAATCCACATCGAAGGAGGAGGAGACAAACCTCAGGACCCTTCACCAATGAAGCTGGCCAGGTTCCTTTCTCAATTGAAAGCAAAGATTATGTAGTCTCTTATGATGGGCTGAACATCACAATTTCCGAGTCAAAAGTAGGTAAAACACGCATTCTTTCAGTTTCAAAAACCTTAGCCACGCAGTGTATTGAAATCCTTAGTAGGCCTGATTACTCGAAAGAATCTTGGGAAATAACTTGTTATGATGGTGATTCTTCCCTCAAAGTGTTTTGGGATTCAAATAGGTTTGGGCGATTTGTCAGACTTCATTCATATAAAGCCAGCCGTCACATTTTCATACCTGCTAGTTACAACTTCACTGGACTAAACATTTTTTGCAAGGGTTTATCTCAGCTTCTTAGAACACTAGAAGATAGGAATTTGATGAGTAACCAACAGCCACTTCTAATTGGAACAACTGAAATAGTTGGGAATGCTAAAATAGTGAGTGATGAAGGATGGAGATGTGCTCCAAGTGAGAGGGATTGTGGCAGAGAAGAGAAAGAACAGGAGGAATCTGTGAATAGGATCTCCACCGATTCAGCATTGAAATTAGAGTGGGAAAGTACTCCAAGACAATCCACAGATGCAGTATTAGACCGGGAGAGTATCAAGCAGTTTGATCAAGTTATTAAGGACAACCTCAGCCTCTTCCGGAAATCCATGGCTAAGAAAAAATTCTTTCAAGCTCTAAACAAGGGACAGATTCTCACCTACTCTGGGGAAGTACTTCGGGTTACTAGAGAGACTACAAAGAGCTTTCAATACATAGATGCTGCATTAGTTCAAGGAGCAAAGTATCCGGTCTACCTTGCCTATGCCAATGAAGATATGGATGTCGTTCTTAATCACCTATGCGGAGTGCAGGAATGAATAAACTCTCAAACTGGGCAAGGATTTATCTAATCCATCTTTTATAAGCTTATTTGGGATTTTCTTAGCTCTCATTAGATTATGGTTATCATTCATGCATCTATTTTATTCCTGGGTTCTGTTCTTAACTTAATCCCCCCTGTGTGGGTTTTGGCATATGATATTTTACCCTGCAAACCATATGAACATGAAAAGGTCAGATACTTTTTTAGTTATGAAGTAATGCACTAGGCTGGGATGCTATCAAACATTTGTCTTGCTGGTCAAAGATACTTTGGGCTTCTCTCTACAGTAGGGGATTTTGAGTTATATGCTTAATGGATGGCAAGCATCTAGTCCAAGAAATTGGAGGTTGACATATCTCTTGGGTATTAGGCTGAAATCACAATTTCTTTTTTTCTTTTCTCGTGATGGGAAGTTGTAAAATGGGACTGTCACTCTTGCTGGCCCCTCTGGACTTACTGGACGAAAGGCAGGACTGCTCACATGGACTTGCTTGTAGTTTAGCAATAATTTAAATAGAAGGCAATGTGAGTCTCCAAAATTCAAGATGGGCTCCAGATTGGTATTCGGGCATTGTTAGCCCTTACTCTGTGTCCTTTTGTTTTGTTTGGGCTTGGTTTGCTTTACCTTGATGTTTTCTCTCCTGCTTTGGGACTGCTTGTTGGGACCTGTCCCATCCCAACCTTTATACTTTTTCCTTCTCATTTTCAATAAAAATTCTCCTTTTATAAATAAATAAATATATATATATATATAATGCAACTTTACTCCACTTAAATATTCTACACTTTTCATATGTTCTATGTGTGTGACCGTATTCTAGGTACCTATAAAATTGGCCATAGTATTTATTAAAAACTACAAGTGATAAGTTGTATTTAGCAACTCATTATCTTCCCCAAATTATAGATATAATGCTTTTGGAACAATTCCTTCAACGACACATCTTATTCATATAACCCTTATCCCTTTATCACTAATATCTTCATTTAACAAAAGGTATGGGGTGTGCCACTTTGTTAGTGTTAGATCGATGGTTTACTGATTCTTTGATTGATTTGTGGGATTCAAATAACATGTTTGTTTTTGCATGGCCATGCACTTCCCAAGTCACATCAATCAGTGGGCCCGAAGATATTACACTTTAATTAAAGATGAGATAAATTCTATCTACGTCATTCACATCTTCACTTAAGTTTCATTGCATATCTAAACATAATTGTACAACAACAACAACCCAGGTGAATCCCACAACAGTAGGGTCCGGCTCCACCTGCACAAAAATATGGAAGGGAACACAATATAACCCAGATAGAGCACCAAGTACAAGCAATAGCAAAATATTCCAAACAAATTAACACACTACAAAACCTCTATAACATCGAGATCCTATCCAGCTACTCTAATACTAGTTTTATAAAGGTTCCTATCTAAGGTCATATCCTCAGTCAGGTCGAGAAGTCCTAAATCCTGCCTAATCACCTCCTTCCAATTCTTCCTAGGTCTACCCCTTCCCTTACTTCCCCCAATAACCGTAATCCTCTCGCATCTCCGTACTGGGGCGTTAGCATCCCGCCGTCTCACATGGCCAAACCATCTTAACCTCGCTTCCCGCAACTTATCTTCCACCGATGCCATGCCTACCTGACGTCGAATAACTTCGTTTGAAATCCTATCCTATCCAACCTTGACTTCCCACACATCCATCGTAACATCCGCATCTCCGCCGCATGCAGACGACGCACATGAGTGTTCTTAACCGCCCAACACTCTGCCCCATATAACATAGCAGGTCTAACTACGGATCGATAGAACTTACCTTTCATTCTGGGCAAAATCTTCGAATCACACAACACCCCTGAAGCTAACTGCCATTTGGGCCAAGCCACTCCAACACGATGTCCAACATCCCCATCTAACTCCCCATCAGCCTAGATTACCGAGTCAAAATATCGAAACCTGTCTACCTTAGGTACTAGGTGAGAGTCAATCCTGACTTCCACCTCTGATTCGTCGATAAGCACAATATCATCCGCGAAAAGCATGCACCATGGGACCCCTTCTTGAACACCTTGAGTTAGGACGTCCATCACCAAGGCGAACAAAAAAGGGCTAAGGGCAGGCTCTGGTGCTACTAAGAAAGAATCTGAATTGCCCCCGGAAGTCCTTACCCTAGTCATAGCCCCATCGTACATATCCTTAATCGCGCGAGTGCACACGATGGGAACTCCTCTCGCCTCTAGGCACCTCCAAAAGACCTCCCTTGGCACCCTATCATACGCCTTCTCAAGGTAAATAAACACCATATGAAGGTCCTTCTCTCTAGCCCTATACTCTTCCATTAACCTTCTCACGAGATAAATGGCCTATGTAGTCGATCTGCCAGGCATGAAACGAAACTGGTTCTCAGAGATGCAAACCACTTTCCGCACCCTATACTCAATGATTCGCTCCCTAATCTTCATGGTGTGGCTAAGCAATTTGATGCCTCTGTAATTCTCGCAGCTCTGAATGTCACCTTTGCCTTTAAACAGAGGAACCAAGAGACTCTCCCTCCACTCATCAGGCATCCTTGCTGTCTGGAGGATAACATTTGGTTAACCAAACCCACGCACCACGACCCGCATGTTTCCAAAACTCCACCAGAATCTCATCTAGTCCCAAAGCTCTCCCACTACGCATCCCGCGGAGAGCCCGAACCACCTCTTCCAGGCAAATGCGCTAGCAATACACACGAGAGGCCCCGGGCTGTCCCAACTCATCAAGAACTAGCCTCTGGTCTCCTCCCGCATTTAAGAGTTCACTAAAGTACTCCCCCCGTGCTTAGCCACATTGGCAGTCTCAACTAACACTCTACCATCGCTGCCCTGTCACGCACTTTAGCAAGCCGGAACAGTGGATTAACACTGCCTTTATCCTCAATATCCTTGTAGAGGGGTTCAAAAGCGGCATTCTTTGCCCTCGTTACCTCTAACTTAGCTTCTTTATGTGCTTTCTTGTACTCCACTTGTAACTCCGCTCTTTCCTCCTCAACATTGCAGCCCATTTACCTCAATTACGACACCTTCTTAGCTTCCACCTTACTTTGGACTGAATCGCTCCACCACCAATTACCCTGACACCTACTCCTAGAGCCAGAGCTCACACCTAACACTTCCCTGGCTGTTTCTCTGATGCAGTTAGCAGTTCGCACCCACATATCAGTAGCCTCTCCAGCCGATTCCCACGCACCTTTCTCTTGCACTCGCCTGGACAACTCAAAGATATTCTCCCAACTTAGTCTCCTCCACCGGATTTGTGTGTTGCCACGCGAAGCTCTCCTATGTTTCTCCCACCTGATCATAACATCCATCACTAGAAGCTTGTGTTGGGTGGTGAAGTTTTCACTCGAAATTACTTTAGCATCCTTGCGGAGCACCCGATCACACCTGCGCAGGAGAAGAAAGTCGATCTGTGTCGTCCCCACTCCACTAACAAATGTAGCCAAATGGTCGTCTTGTTTCAGGAAACAAGAGTTAGCAACCACCATATCACTCGCTCTGGCAAACTCCAAGAGTGAAACTCCCGCTGGGTTCCTGCTGCCAAAGCCAAAACCAACGTCGTCGAAGCCATCGACCGATTCTCCAATATGGCCATTGAGGTCGCCTCCAATGAAGACTTTCTCTGTCAGTAACCAACAACCACCCCATCCAAGGCGTCCTAAAACTCCCTCTATACTTCGTCTGCCAGGCCAACATGCGGGGCGTAAGCACTCACGACATTGATCGCACACCCACCCAAAACCAACTTGATAAACATCAGACGATCACTAATCCTCTTCACCTCCACCACAAACTCTCGCAGTTCCGGCGCCACCAGAGTGCTGACTCCATTCCTTCCCCTGGCTGAACCGAATACCATAGTTTGAAACCATCAACCTCTCGCGCCTTAGTGCCCACCCACCTGGTTTCTTGCACGCATGCCACCTGAATCCTTCTCCTCTTGAGAACTTGCACCAACTCAATAGATCGACTTACCTGTGAGGGTCCCTATGTTCCAAGAGCCGAAACGCACATGTGACACTACACTACCGTACCCCTCTGCGACCCTCCTGCCCCCGTACCCCCTACCCCGTCCCAACCCCGGGATAAATCATGCTTCAAAGTATGCAACTCAACTTACCAAAGATTGTAATGACTTCAAGTCGAAGGATAGTTATACTAATGGCCGCATGAGAATAATATTAACACTTTAACTTAAACCCATATATTATTCTCATAGCGGGTCAATCCAGCAACATATCCAATATGTTTGCCTACATATAGATTTAGATAACACTTTATCTATAGCCTATGAGACGTAGTTATTTCATCTCATACGTATTAGTCTTGATATATTATGATGTTCGTATTGCCATAATATTCGACTAAGGATATTTTAGACCTGGCCTCTATCTTTGTAACAGCCTCATAATTAAAACGTCGTAGTTCTCATCTATGTGACTAGAGCTCCTACTGTATGGACTAAAGCTATGTTTAAATCACACGAGACGACTTAAACAATCTTTAGGGCCTATTATTCTTGATATCATAGATATGGAATCATACGTTGGCTTCTATGGCTCACTTATACTCAACATCCTGACCTTAAGTCAATCTTAGAGAATACAATCGATCCTCTAAGCTGATCAAATAAGTCATTAATACGAGGTAAAGGATAACAATTTTTGTACTCCCTCCGTCCAAGTTGAAACTTCCCGTTTTGACTTGGCACGGGTTTTAATGTAAAGTAAAAAATGTATCAACTTTCCACTTTTGCCCTTCTTTCTTGCGTCAAGCTCACCTGCCTTGTACCTGTGTTTTCATCTTTTTCAATCTAACTCCTCTCTTCTTCCTCTTAACAAGTTCAAAATCGCAATCAAATTATACTCCAAATTAATTAAAAAATTAAAACAAAATCAAATTGAATCTTATCACACAAGAAAATTAAATTTAAAATTGTTTCATAGAAGAAGGCGAGGAGCCGATGAAGAAACAAAAAATTAAATCTGGGATTTTCTTCAATTGATGCCACCCTCTTTGCCTCCCACCATCACCGCCCCTTTTTGTCTCCTGCCGCCTTGTCTAGCGAATCATCAGCCCAGAACCTCTTTCTGTCATAGAGGAAGCAAATCATTGTTGAAGTCGTAATCTTCGAGCCTGCAGTAGCCGACAAGCGATGGTGGTGGAGACGTGGTTATGAAATTTGGAGAGAAGAGGGATGGTGGTTGAGGCATAGAGAGATGTATTGGAAGGGGGTAGGGTGGTCGGGGAATAAAAAAAGAGAGGGATTTGGGGGGGGAAAGAAAGAAGAGAGGTAGAAAGAGATCTAATGTAGAAAAGAAGTTTGGGAAGAAGAGGAATGAGAGTAAGGAGAGAAAAATGGGGTGGGGGTCTGACAACGGAAGGAAGAAAGAAAGAGAAGGAAGCAGGGTGGGAGAGAAAGAAAAAGCAGTGGTAAAATGGTCAGTTTAAATATATTTAATTTCTATTTTAGGAAATGAGAAGAATCAAGTGGGACGGCTAAAAAAGGAAAGTGAGAAGAAAGATATGGGATGAAGGGAGTATTATTTAATTAACGGTAATTGATACAGAGTCTCATCGATCCATCTTTATTCGTGTATGTGTAGAACGGGTACTCTCTCAAGGAGAAAACATTTGGTCAAGCAATCCTTTCAATTGAGTTTTCCGTTTCAGCAAAAGGTCGTTCAATCAGTCTTTTCTAAGAACAAGAATGATAGAGAATTCAATTTCTTGGAGTGATGGAATACTAGGAGGTTTATATCAGAGGAGTGACATACTCGTAATACGTCCTTCAGTTTAGAGGTTTCTTTTGGCGTATCACACGAACAGACATCACACATTTTATGGTTGACACGTTTTTGTGTGTACATTCGAGATAAACTCGGTTGGTCTAGAAATCGGCTTTTCTTTCACCTCTATGAGGTTACCATCATCGGTCTTGAGTTGAAGAATTCTTCGTCACAAGTTGTCAACAACAACTACGTTCAGTCAGCCAATTCATATTAAGAATAATGTTAATTTCTTTGTATGGTATTTCAACGAGGTTTTGCAAGGAATTTTTGCTTAATGGACGATTTTGATTCATACGATATCATTGCCCATATTGTGTCGTAAAGAGTTAAACAACAGAATGGGATACTTTTGGTAATAGAGTTTATTGATTCTAAACGTTCCTGTTTGAATCAACGATCAGATCGTGTTGAGACCACATGAGGATCTTCGACACTCGATTCACAAATGTTGTTCACCATTAATCGTTTCTTCAGAGTCGTCTCGTTTCAATGCAATTTTACAGTACAGATAGATTTCAATTTCATAATTCGCGACGCGATAAGCATGTTGATAACGGATCAGAAACTTTACACTTCCGTCTCTTTATTGAGTACGAAAGTTAAACTTGAGTATACGCTCGATATGATTTTAGTACTAATAATTGTTATCTAATGAGAATTTTAATAAATTCATTGAGGGATGCGAGAGTCATGGATGTGACTAACGTATTTTTTTAATATCAAATTTTGATCCGAAGATCGGTTTTAAAACCATTTGTTCCGATACCAAATTGTAACACCCTAATCCGCCCAGGTCTGCAGACCCTTTCGGGTTAAAGTATTACCTTGGTAATCGTAACATTTAAAACATTTAAAATATCTTTATTTATCATAAATAATATTCAATACGTAATTGTAGAAATACGGAGTGTTTAATAATGTGGAAGCGAATTTAAAACATGTCTCATGACAATCATAATTAATTATTTAAATCCACACATCCATCAAGACCGTCTCGCCCCATTTGCTTCCATGAACTCGCCACTTCATTCTTTATGTTTACCTTTGTGTAGCAAATAAAACATACTACACGCTCAGGAGTAAAGCTCAGTAAGCATATCTAGTGCGTCGAACATCCATATAAATTGAATCTCAATTCATAATCAACCATTTGATATCATGCACACAATATACAATTCAAGTATTCATCAATCACGATATTCACAATATTTTAATTCAAGTCATTTCATGATATATACAAAACTCAATATCCAATATCTCAATATTGCTCTTAAATTATTCTTAATCTAAGCCAAATCATTTTTATAACAAGTTCTTAGTTATTCCTAGTCTAAAGCAATATTTTTAATCGGGCTCTTGAACCGTCAAGCGTTAACACTCTAACTTATTGTCATGGATCATATAAGGTTTTTGGATTTGTCAAAACACCATATTTATTTACAGAAATCATTTCCATATTGATCATATTTGTTTGATAACAAGACTATGATTTAATATTTCAAAAATAAGTTTTCTGAAAAGTTTCTCTAGTTCAAGCACATAATAATCGATTAATTGAAGATAAGAAAATCGGTTAATTGTTACTGCCTTCAAATGCTTCAGCGGAATAAGGAGTTTATCAATTATTCAAGATGAGATAATCGATTAATGGATCGATAATCGATTATGCTTGATGAAATAATCAATTATCTGCTCCTGAGTTCAAATGTTTTAATAGAACAATCATTTAATCGATTAATTAGAGAAAGAATTTGAAAATATGAGAATAGTTAAAAAAACTAAAAGGAACTGGAGGAAAAGGGAAGAAATTAGAAAAAAATTGAAAAGAAATCACCCTAAATAGGAATAAAACATAGGAAAACTACCAAAGTAGGAGTTCCACATTTTTATTTTCTAAATAGGACTTCGTAGTCTTGTAATGTGGAACCGTACATGTGCATATTACTATACTTTCTCGTAATATACATGGTGTAACGACCCGAAAACCGGCTTAGTAGTTAGTCGTTATTTTTAATAAAAATAAACATAATATTTATTTACTCTAGAATATGAATTATTGGTAAAATTATCCGTTTTAAACGAAAATTGGGTTTTCGGATAGATCTCGTAAAATGGTGACCAACGGTATATAGTTTGTTAAAATTTGGATATATGTGTAAAGCGCAGTAAGTAAAATAAACATTACAATTCAAGGAATAAATATAAGGGTTTTTATAATAAAATATATAAATAAATATACTATTCCTACTCCTAATTGGAAAGGAGAATCCCTCCCCCCTCTAATTCTATAAATACGCACACGCGTGGGAGGGAGGGGAGTATTTTCTCTACGGAGTGCGTCTTGCGCGAAAGGGAAGGAGCCAGAACAGATATCGATTGCGGAAGGGAGTTCAGGACAGGTGACTGCTCCACCATCGCTGGACTGCATCGGGAATCAGGCAGTTGACCACCGCCGCCTGTCAGTTGACATCTCTGCTCCGCCAGCCGCTGTTGTGCCGCCGCCGCGGGGATCGCCGGAAACAGCCCGACCAATTGATTCTTGTTTTGTTTAATTCGCCAATTGATCAAGGTCAGAACTTGCACATCTAACGCTAGTTTTGTTTAATTCGCCACTCGCCAATTGATATAGGTTCGTTGCTGTTGCCGGTACATATGTGAGACGGTCGGACGGTACCGTACTGACGGTACCCAGGTACCGCCTGGCGGTACCGAGGTACCGTGACGGGTACCGTACCGGCAGCTGCAAACCTCTGTTGTTTGACTGTTTGACCCAATTTGGAATCTGAATTGACTTTGAGCCCTTATGTTTTGCATGACGGTAAATGGAAGGTGTTTACACCCGACATTAGGCCGCTATTTGGATTGCATAATGATTTATTTAGCTATTTCTACTCTCTTGATTTATTATGGATATAATGTGATATCCCTTAAAACGGATAAAGTAAATTGAGGTTGCTGTTAGCTTGGATGTGAATAATTAAAGTTAATGAGATAGGTTACCTAGATGAATTATAGGTAGACCGAGGAAACAGAATAAAGAATTCAGTTAGGAATAACTGGTCATGTGATGAGCCGACGTGCGCGCATGATCAGTTGGGTAGAGCGTGCGCACGGGGGTCGTAGATCTGCTCATGGATGTGAGTAGGTGGTCCCACCCAGCCGACGTTGGATGACGTCGTATCGAGCGGGTTCTTCCATGGATGTGGTTGGATCAGGACTCTAGAATAAAGTAGTTGGCCTTAGCCTAGGATAGGTTATGAGCCTAGAGATAAAGAAGTGGATTATGAGGTAAGTTTGTTAATTATGGTAATTATGCTTGATTGATGAATTATATGACATTAATGATGTTAATGATGTTGTACTTGTGTGCATGATATTGTATGGAATTATGAGCTAGTGGGTTCGTCTATGTGCGTAGTCGAACGTTAGATAGATTCCACTCAGCTTCAATGCTGAGCGTGTAGCCCTTTTTCCTATTTGGTACACGTAGGTAACAGGAACGATGAATAATGAGACGGTCTTGGAGGCAGCGGGGGTGAAAAGATGGATGGATGCTAGCTGGAGGAGTTATTATTTAATATTTAAGTTTAAATTAATTATGTTTTTAAGGGCAAGAACCCAAAGTTGTATTTTAATTAAATACTTAAAGGCTTCCGCACCGTTTTGATTAACTCTGATGGATATTTAAATATTGTTTGAGTTAAATGTTTTAAATTGTTTTGGAAATTATTGTGTCTGAATACAAATTTAGTGACAACCCGATCCGCTGGTCCTTGTATTCGGGTTATGCGGGTTGGGGTGTTACACATGGTCATGATCTCTAATGTAAATGCATTTTAACTCCTATTTTGGGAGTAAAAAACATAAAATTCTTATTTTGGTATATTTTCGATATTTTACATCTACTTTAGTCTTTTTCCCAAAATTGAAAATTAAAAGTTTGAGCCCTAAAGATTAAAGAACATGCTCTTAGAGCCTGTTCTTTAGGGTCCGAAAAAAGAGCTAGATGTTGGAAGAGACTCGAAGGTACGAGAAGAAATGGAAAAATTAGAAAAAACTAGAATAAACTGGAAAGTACTGGAAAAAATTAGTTGAAACTGAAAAAACTAGAAAAATAAAAAAATCTAAAAAATTTTAAAAAATTTATTTTAGTGATATTATTCTCATTCTAATTCTTGTTGCTATAATTTATTATTATTACTATCACGTTATATTAATAAATGTCTTTAAGATAAAAAATATTGATATTTTTCATACACAAAAAAACTACGTTCGAAGAAAAAAGTTAATTAGAATATGAAGTTAGCATAAATAGCAAAATGTTAAATTTTAAAAAGTTATTGTGGTCACGTTGCACCCGAATTTATTTATGCAGTATTTATTATAAAAAATACATTCGTAATTATACTTTATATATTATAAGATTTTGTTTTAATTTAAATATCATACATGTCACATGATGTAGTCAAACCTATTTTTACTTTCATGATTGTTATTTTATTTTCATTGTAACTCTTATTTTTGAAATAAAGACATAAAACTCTTATTTTTGTTCCTTTTTTTTATGTTTTTCGTGCTCCTACTTTATCTTTTTCTCTAAACTATTTTAACTTTCAAAATTTTTTATAAAAACTTGATCATGTAGATTAATATACAAAAAATTCTATTACTCATATTAACAAGTTGAAGAAAAAATAATAATCAGTGTGAATACTAAAACAGTGAGATCAAAAAATGAAATAACTTATAAATTATAGTTATGAACATAATAGTTGTAATAATAATAATAATAATAATAATAATTAAAATATATCGTTTTAGAGTAATTATTTGATGAGTAGAAGGAGTTCGAAGAAAATGAGAATAGTTGGAAGAACCTAGAAGAAACAAGAAGGAACTCAAAAAATGAAAGAAATAGAAAGAAACTGGAAAAAATTACAAAGATCTGGAATTGATTCCTTCCAGATAGGTACATCCTTTAGTTCAGTTATATCTAGTTGCGTGCCTGGGTACCAGGCTTTGGTAAGCACTGGTTTGTTGTCAAAATAATAATATTTCCTTTTTAGCACTTCATCTCATTCTTCTGTGCTACTGAACCTCACAATAAACTGCCCTTCCTTTAGAAAAGCTACATCATCTATAATATACATTTTCCATATCCGCCTGGCATAACTTTCTATGATTGCCGATGGAGGATTAGTTCCCAGAACACATACTATAATAGATTGATCCCAGCATCCCAAATCCTCAACTAAATCATCCTTATTAAATTTTGCAACGAACTGTCCATTTATTTCTTCAGCAGGTAAATATGACAAATCTAAATCAACATTAGGCCCCTTAACTACCTCAGCATACGAGATTGGTTTATGTATCTGATCCAGGTTGCTTTTCAACTCCCCTTTACCAGGGTTCCCTGTTCGTACACTAGCTTCCCCAATTTCATGTAGATCTGGGCTCGAATTTTTTTACCTCATATGGTGTTTTTGGAGTCAATTTCTGCATTCCCAAACTTGGATTTGCAGGGCTGCCTTCTGCCACACAGTCTCTAGCTTCCGATTGTGGTGAATTCATTGCTCTTCCTTCGTTTGATTTCCTCGGTCGTCCTCGCCTCCTAGCCATCTAGAGAGAGAAACGAGAGCAGACGACTAAACAAACCATTTCCAAAGTGTTTACAAAGCAGAAATCACAGTAAACATGACTAAAACATATAAAAAATTACCAAATAAGAGCAAAAAATTTCTGACAGGTACCCTATATTTTGTGATAATAACTACTAGGTACCTTATTTTTTCAAAATGTACCGTGAGGAACCTTAAAATATGAAAAAAGTAACTAGGGAGGGACTTTCCGTTCTTCGGACTTCTTCCTCCGTCAAACCCAATCCACCGTCAACTCCATCTTCTTTCTTTCTTCTTTCCCCTCTTCTTCTCTCGACCTCTCTCTTCTTCTTTTTCTCTTCTTCTTCTTTTTCTCTTCTTCTTCTGCTCTTCTTCTTCTCCCAACAGTCTTGCAGGAGGGCCTACCCCATACACAGTGGTGCACAAGTCCAAATCTAATTTTTCACAAAATTCCTAGATTTTGCAGCAAAATTAGCAGCAAAATAACCTAAGGCCCAATTTCATGAAAAAAAAGAAAACTAGAAAATGGCTTTATCTTCAAACTTGCTCCACTTTCTTGGTCCACTACTGCATAGATCCTCTCACTTTTTCACTCTCCAAAGCAAATCCCACCCTCTTCCCACAAGCAACTCACTTAGCTAAATTTTTTTTTCTGGGTTCATCTTTTTCTTTTGAAATTTTTGATTTTTTTTTTCTTTGATTGAAAAAACATGAGGTTTTTAATAGTTAATTTGAGGTTATATGGTTCAGGTACCGTGATTTTGAATTCTGAGAAATGGGTGCCCCAATTCCACCTCTAATCTGGGAATTCTGTGGGAATAATACTAATAGAATAAAAAGGAATTCAAAAGAAAAAACGGAAGAAGAAAAAAGGGGTTGGGGAGGGGGGGTTAGATCTGACCGCAAGGTGGAGAAGAAAGAGAAGAAGAAGAAAGAAAAGAAGAAGAAAAAGAAGAAGAAGAAGAAGAAGAAGAAGAAGGGGGGAGGAGGAGAAAAAGAAGAAAGAAAGAAGATGGAGTTGAGGGTGGATTGAGTTTGAAGGAGGAAGAACGGAAAGTCCCTCCCTAGTCACTTTTTTCATATTTTAACACAAAATATAAAGTACCTGTTAGTTATTAACACAAAAATATAGGGTACCTGTTAGCAATTTTTTGGAAATAAGAGTTTCATGTTTTTATTTTCGAAATAAGACCTGACACTGTGGTAATGCACTTGTAATGTGACACTCTACATATGCATATTATCATACTTTTTGGTAATGTATATTATCATGTTTGGTGATGTAAATGATAAAGGATAAAACTATTTGTACCTCAAATATTTGTACCTTATTTTGTACACTACGAAGATGCACTAACATTTTGTGTTATTGTAATGTTAATTTTTTTTTAACGCACCAACATTTTGTGTTAGTACAAATTTTTATTAATGTACCAACACTTTGTGTCACTGTAAAGAATCAAAATGTTAGTGTGGTATAGTACAAATTTTGGGGTAAATGTAGCATCCTCCCTAATGTAAATCCATACGAATCAGCTTTACACCAAGCGTTCCTATTCCGGGGGCTTTATAAAAGTGCCCTAAAAAAAGGTTTCTCTTATAAAAATGTCAAAAAAAGGTTTGATATTATGAGACTACCCTCACTGAAAAGCACGAAAAATTAGCATGTGAGATTCCCAAATTACCCCTATTCTTCTTATTCGAAAGCTATTGTCGAAAGAATCTAATTACGTTCCACAGCCGTTTAACAATTTCCCCCCTTTTTGACCCGCCCCGAAATTAACTATTTCAGTTTTCCCCCTTTTTTGACCCGACCCGAAATTAACGATTTCATGCTTTTCAGCTCCTCAATCGTACGCACACTACACATTTGTTCTGCAAATCGGCAACCTAATTTGAAAGCACAGCAAAACGATAAGATTTGGGAACGCGTTTAGAAGCTATTGCATAGCGCTGAAGGAGGAAAAAGAGCAGAAAGAGATTACAGTAAACCCTAATTTTCGATACCCAAAATTTGATTACAAACCCTAATTTTTCTTTACACTAAAGAGTTATGATTTTTTTTGTTTAGCTCTCCTAAACATCCTTTCTTCTTCGCTATTGCGTAGCGCAGAAGGAGGAAAAAGAGCAGAAAGAGATTACGGTAAACCCTAATTTTTCTTTACACTAAAGAGTTATGATTCTAATTGAGCCAATTGTGTTATGATTCTACATATCTTATGGTAAACCCTACATATCTAAGATAGAAATAAACCCTACTCCGAAATAAACCCTATTCGAACATAGTCTGCGAAACCATACGAACATTTACGAATATTCGACGGTATTTCGATTGGTCTTGACTATTCGACGTTCTTTCGATGAATTTCGAATACACTTAAAAATGTGATATTTTTTGGAGTAAATTCCATAATTGGTCCTTTATAACAGAGGGATTTCCTTATTTAGTCCTCAATTATCAAATATTACCCGAGTGGTTCTTCTTTTATAGGTATCTTTTCATAAATAGTCCTTTTTTATCTTCTGTCATGTTAGTGTTAATTTGAAGGCTAAATATATAATTTGACATCAACATTATGTCTAGTAACGTGTTCTGATGTTAGTTTAGCGGATAACACAAAAATAATGACTACGATTGTGGACTAGGATTCCTACGAAAGACCACATTTGTAGACTATGTTTATAGTAGAATGCGGCTGTAATTCACAAACGATGCAAACGGAACAGCCTCTGGAATTGTGTATGATAAAAAAGATATATTATCATTGTTAAATTACACTTTTAGCCCTCAAATTAACACCAACATGATAGAAGATCAAAAAAAGGACTATTTGTGGAATGATACTTATAAAAGAAGGACCACTGGGGTAATATTTGATAATTGAGGACTAAATAGAGAAAACCTCTATTATAAAGGACTAATTATAGAATTTACTCTATTTTTTGTTGTTTATGTTTTTTCGATTGCAGATGGGTACAGATGCTGTTATATTATATGTTGTTTATGGTGGAAAGTGGACCACAGATCACGAAGGGAAGTATGTTTACAGTGGATCGGGCAAGAATATAACTTCGTTGTTTTGGGTTGTTGCTAATTTGGACTTTGATGCCTTTTTGAAAGCCATTATTCAAAAGCTTGGTTGTGATATGAAAAATCAAAGGCCAAAAATTGCATTTCAAATTCAACGGCTTGAAAAGAATATTCCACCCTTTTCCATCGATCCAAGTGAAACACTATATGTATTTCAATTGTATGATTGTTGCTGATCAAGAATCTGGGCGTGATCATGACGGTATTGTTTTTCAGAAAAATGCAGGGAGGTGTGATCAAAATCCTCATTTCGTTGAGTCTAATGCCACCCCTGTGAAGAGCCCAGCAACTGCTCAAGTGGATGAAGGTGATTATATTGGTGGTGATAATGATGAGTTAAATGAGGACGAGTGCTTTATTCGGAGGGACGATCCTTCTTTTGATACGTCTTTTGGTAATGAGGTAGACGCGACATTGGATGGTGGCTTTGAAGATGGGTCGGATTTGGCCATCGGGCTTGAGTTTGCTGACAAAAGAGAGTTGAAGAAGAAGATGGCTGATGTTTCCATACAAGGACATTTTGAAACAAAGACTGTTAAGAGCGACAAAAAGAGGCATGTGTTGAAATGCAAGAGTGACAAATGCTCTTGGATGATGATGGCATCCATCGTAAAAAATACATCTCGATTCGCTATTAAAAAATACAACGGGAGACATATTTGTACAGTTGATGACCGTAGCCGAACACACAGCCAAACAACTTCGAGATATGTCTCAAGTTTAATTTTAGAGAGTTTTGATGGGACGGATGATTTAATTAGGCCCAAAAATATCATGACTTTCATGAAAAACAAGAGCATGCCGATCACATATGCAAAGGCTTGGTGGAGTAGGAAGTTCGCAAATGAAGCCATGTTTGGGAAGCCCGAGACTAGTTACGAAAAGCTTCCATTATACTTCCACATGTTGAAAAAAGCAAATAATGATCTTGTAACAACCCACCTAGAACTTGATGAGGGGGGTGCTTTCAAGTATGTATTCATAGCATTTCATGCATGTATTTCTGGATTTCAAGCATTGAGGCATGTCATCGCCGTTGACGAAACATTTCTTAAGACATCCTATAAGGGTGTTTTACTCATTGAAACGGCTCAAGATGGTGACTTTCACCAATATCCCCTTGCCTGGGCTATTGTGGACTCTGAAAACAACGACTCACACTCTTGGTTTTTTGGCCATTTAAGGAAGTTAATTCCTGATTCTAGAGACTTAGTGTTCATTTCGGACAGACACATTAGCATTCGAAATGGGATAAGAAAGCACTATTCGGTTGCGGATCATGGATTGTGTAGGTATCACATCACTTGTAATTTGAGGAAGCGTTATCCAAAGATGTGCAAAAAGGGTTTGGATACACTTTTTGAGAAACTTGCAAATGCATACACCAAACGGTCATTCAAGAGGTTGTATGGCGACTTGAAAGCAAGGTACCCAGCTGCTGGCAATTACATTGACAATATCCCAAAGAAAAGATGGGCCAGGGCGTATTTTGAAATAAACCGGTACCAAATAATGACGACAAATGGCGCCGAATCAATCAATAGCGTATTGAGGGAGGACAGGGAACTTCCTATTGTTGCACTTTTAAAAGCAGTCCAGAACATGACATCAAGATGGCGTGGAAAAAGGCAACAAGAGTTAAGGTCTCTCGATGCGTCAAATCCCCCTGTTACCCTGGCTGTTGAAGCTGAAATGCGCAAGAGATTCAACACTGCCTTGCGCTTGGAATGTCATCAGTTGAATCAATACGAGTTTGAAGTCAAGGGAGTGCACTCTGACCATGTTGTTAACCTTTCAAATAAAACTTGCACGTGCCAAGTGTTTGACAAGGATATGATACCTTGCGTGCATGCACTCGCTTGTTCAGAACGCACATGCATAGATTGTTATAGCCTGTGTAGTAAATTATACACAAAGGATTACATGTATATCGCATACGCGGAAACAATCTACCCCGTGCCACATGAAGATGACTGGGATGCCGATGGAATGGAGCTCTTAGAAGTCAAACCCCCTATATTGAACAAGCAAAGAGGAAGGCCAACAACGAAGAGATTTCCATCGGACGGTGAGGCACGAAAAAAATATAAATTGACATGTTCTGGTTGCCAAGGAAAAGGGCATACAGTACGGACATGCGCAAAGAGACCTCGCAAAGACACATCTACGACAAATGACTTGAATAATACTGATTGCATGTAATTGTATTCGAAGAGAGGTCTAAAGGTTTCGAATTAAAATAAATTCTATTATTTCAATTAAAAATAATTCTATTGCAGTCAAATTTATCAAATTGATTGTGTAAAATATTGGTAATTTTTTAATATGAAATACACTGACTAATATTTGAATTTTGAATGGAATGAAGGGACTTTTACACTCTAATTAACAATTAATACATGAATGAAGATATGTGTGAACGGTTGGCATTCAATTCTGTATATAAAGATATGCATGGACGGTTGGGGAAATATGTTGCATTTAGGACGTTTTATATACTCCGTATATTTTAATTTTTAATAATAATAATAATAATAATAATAATAATAATTCGATCATTTCGACTACATTTGGAACGTATTCGACTGCATGTTATGCACATAGGAGGGTTTGATTAACAACAACAACAACAACAATAATAATAATAATAATAATAATAATAATAATAATAAAAATAATAATAATAATAAGTAGTTGGGGAAATTCAAATATGGTTTGAAAGCATTTAAGAGGTATATGGTTTGAATGCATTTAGGACGGTAGATGAGTAGTTGGGGAAATTCAAATATGGTTTGAAAGCATTTAAGAGGTTTTGAATGCATTTAGGATGTTTAATGAGTAGTTGGGGAAATACGTTGCATTTAGGACTTTTTATATACTCCGTATATATTAGTGCTATATATACTAGTGCAATTGCTTATCTTTATTCACAAAAACCCCTCTTATAATGCCAAAAACTTTCGTCATATATCTGGAGGAAGAGGATAATGCTCGAAACAAATTTCTTGAAGATCACTTCCCATTGGTACTCCAATAGACTTTAAGTCAACATAATACCAAAGGAAAGTGATCTTCAAGAAATTTCTTTCTGAGCATTCGCGTCATATTATGCTTTGAACTACGTATTCAACTCCTAAGCAGCTCAGGTCACTGATAAAGGTAAAGTCCATCAATGAGTCAAATTCTATTTGGTAGTGGTCTAATAAAATGTAACATATGAATTTATTGTTTTGAAACACTATTTAATGATTTGTAATAAAAAAAAGTGCATGAAAATGATTTGTAAGTGCCAATAACATATCAAAAAAAGTCTAAGTAATGATTTGTAAAAAATTACCCTATGATTTGTAAAACATTACCTTAAATATTCAACTTATATGCAAAAATTTATTGTTTTGAAAGACCATTTAATGATTTGTAATAAAAAAAAATGAAAAGGTCTATTTGGGAAGGGTCGAAATTGCGTGAAAAACCAACTCAATCTAAAAATGGCGAGTGGTCGAATATGGTCACAAAGGTCAAATTGGTCGAATTATCCAATAAGAAAAAGTAATAAGCCTAAGAACTTAACCGAAAAAAGAGTTGTACAAACACATTAAATCCCCAGGCACGCATACCTGGAAAAGATCAGATAATGATAATGTTCATTAAATAACAATCAATTAATTTTTGGTTTACCGTCTGTGATGACGGTAAACTCCCCTCATAAAGGTGTTGTTCCCCACCGGCCTCATCACAAGCTTGTCCCCAACACGCAAACCATTCGAATCAACAAAGTAATGCCACATTCTCTTCAGGAACCCATCACCAATACAATCAACCTTGAGTGTGCAGACCACAGGCTGCATGTTGGGTCTTATGAGAGTGACATCTGTTTTTCCCTCTACAAAGCCATTTGCTTTGAAAAATTCGTCACTTATGGGCTGAGAATAACGGATTAAAAGTCATTAAATGATGGAGGAGAATACACCATGTATTCCAAACAAAAATTTTGTGTTTGGTCGAATTTGGTCAAAATAGTCAAATACGTCAAATTAGGTCGAATTTGGTCAAAAAGATCAGATTATGATATTGTTCATTAAAAATCATATTTTAAAAGCATACCAGCTTCTCGGATGACTCCCGAAAGTGCGATTCTTCCAACTTGCAAACAAAGACGTCATCATCATCATCTGTAACATCATCTGCATCTGATCATTGCAAATCACCTCATACATTACAGTTAGAATTAGAAAGAATTCGGGGAGGGCGGGTAAAATATACCATATTTCAAAGTCTTACCAGAATCATAATCAGGAATTCTTATTGGGTAGTCAACTTCTGAACCAAGGGTCGAAATCACAATGGCTGTGTATGCTGTCTTTGATAATTTTTTGAACAGAATATGCCAAAGATTTTGGCAGTGGTGGTCATAGAGAAAGTATCTCCATCCATTCTCGGCAGCGAATCGATGCTTGCCGTCATCTCCAAGAACAACTCGGACTGGATAGCACCCAATCCGAGTATATATATCCAATCTCTCCTCCCGTGGATGATATCGAGAAGGAATGACCTGTAAATCATGAAATCGAGATTAAAGCCAAGCACGCATGTGTTAGTCATATGCATTCAAATGAAATCTTACCGTGCCGGTATAAGCATCCCTTTTGATGACCACAACGAAATCTGATTGCGGCATTTTTACTCCCAGCGGCGTTGGAGAGTGTCCGTGAGGGTATAAAGAGAGGGAGTCGCAGTCGAAGCGTTGGAAGCGGTGGAAGCGGCGGAAGCGAAGTGACGAGAAAAGAAGAAGAAGAAGAAGAAGAAGATAAAGGTTGGAATTTATGAGAAATTTTGACTTTTCAATTCTCATCTGACATAAATGTGGCGTGGGACTCAAAGAAAATTATTCCGTACAAAATTTCTTCTATATTTAACAAAATTTTGTCCAATTTTGTCTTTGTCGTATCTCTAATTTTGTACATTTTGGAGAAATACGGAACCGTACTACATTCCCAATGTTGACCGTAATTTGGACCATTACTGTGCGCTGATCAATATTGTAGTTGAAAAGTACTCTTGGTGGGGGGACCTTGTTTCTAGATTTTTTATATATTTTTATTTTTAGATTTTATTTCAATATTTCTAGATATTATTATTTTTTCTATTTTTTAATAATACTCTTCATTAACACAGTCTGAAGTCCGACTATAATTGTTACAATTACCTCTACAGTTATCCTCTTAACTGGACTGCTACATCCACTACGGTCCAAACTTAGTTGTTAACACCAACAGGTACGACCTTTTCGCCAGTTTTCCTCTTAACTGGACTGCTACATCCACTACGGTCCGAACTTAGTTGTTAACACCAACAGGTACGACCTTGCTACAGTTAAACTCTTAACTGGACTGCTACATCCACTACGGTCCGAAATTAATTCTTAACACCAACAGGTACAACCTTGCTACAGTTATCCTCTTAACTGGACTGCTACATCCACTACGGTCGGAACTCCCCTTGTTAACACCAACAGGTAAACAAAAATTGGTTAATTTTAAGTAAGAATTATTTGAAAATACCTGGTTTTCATTCTCCATCTCCTCCCTTTGTGTTTGGGTTAGAATTCTTCTTCTCTTGTACTGGAACCCGCTACTTGTTCCGGTGTTCTCCATGGCAAAGAGATGTGTGGTAGTTCTTGAAGGTATCCGACGACGGTAAGAAATGTAGAACGAAGAGCACAAGAGTTTCGATTGATGAAGGCGTATCGTTTCCGAAGCCTGGTCGGGGTATTAAGGAGGGGTTGGCACTTCAAACGACGCCGTTTGACCTTTCTAAAAATCATCTTGACGCTTCGAAGGCAACCTAACGACTCGTCGTTAATTTTAATATTTCCGTTTAATTTTTGAAGTAACGGGAATAAACAGTGACGTTTTGTTTCTTGGTTGGAAGGGCCTTTCTGTCATTTCCCCTCATTTTACGCAAGTAGAGAAACACGCCTCACGCGAATCTTTGTTAGATGTAAGAGGGCATTCTCATAAATTCCAACCTTTTTCGGCCCTTTTCCATAGATTCTTCTTCCTATTCCCATCCTCGAAGGAAGTCTTCTACTCCGTAATTCATTGCGCGCGCGCATAGCTTCTGTATAATCCTTTTTTTCCCTAATCGAGAAGAGAGTGAGAGGCGGGTTGAGGGGGTTATGGGTTGTTGCAGCAGCAAGAGCGTGGTTACTGTGGCCGAACGCATTGCTCGATGGCGTGCCACAGGAATCGTCGCTTTACGCGACTCCAAATTGAAGGCATTCTCATCCGTCCTTCTATTTCGTTTCCATATATATTACTCCGTATAATATAGACAATTAAGGATTGAATTTGCCTGTGGTTTTCGTTGTGAAATCATAGCTGTTTTTAAAATGCTTTACTCAGTTATTTCTTTTGGAAAATGGGGTTTTGGAGAATTCGGAACATTAAGTCATGATTACCATAAAATTGTTCTTGATGGCTAAATTATGTCTATGGTGTGGCATGTGTGTTATACGACTATGATGTACTTTCGATTGTTTGAAGCAAATTGTCCATTTGATGATAATGTTCATTGTCTTGTACGTATCAATTTATTTGCTAATCACCTTAAACGAATTATGTGGTTCTAATCTACAGCCAAAGATTCACTATTTTGGCTTTGAGATATGATGGAATAATGTAAAATGACTCTTTAAACACGCTCTTCTTTTATAGTGAAGTAACATTTAGTCAATACAACTTTCGATTCTCATCGTGGGTCATTTGGAAATAGC